TATTTTCAACCAAAAGCATAAAATTCAGCCAATACTGAGCGCACGTGAAAATTAAAAACGAACCACCGTTGGCTAGAAATGATTGACATTGTGATTAGGAATAAACGGGTCGGCTAGATGTCGCGTATGAGTGGAATTCAAGGGCCGCAAGCTCAGAGCAGCTGGCGTGCTGGGGAAAGGTAGGCACACTGCCCCCCATCTCCGATTAAAGCAGCACAGAAGGAGCTTAGATGCCTATGGGAAAAAGCGGATGTAAATGAACTATGATGGAAATGTTCTAACTTTAAGTTTGAAGAAAAAAAAAAACTGGAAAAATGACACAGGGACAGAACATCAGAATAAACAAGCAAAGGGTCAAAAACAGGTTTCATTCACTGTGTGGAACGAAGATACTGGGTGGAGGAAGAGTGTGATGAGAGAGAGAGACAGATCGTTGTCATTAGCTGAATGGTCTCTGGAGTGACCAGTAAGAGCTGAATTCTTTTAGGTAAAAACGGAGGCTGCCAAGGAGCTATGATGTAGCGCGAATGGAAAGCCTGTGTCCTGTTCCACTGCAGCGCATCGCAGCGGAGATACGAGGACGGCAGAAAAGAAAACAGACATGGAGAAGCATCGGGTGACATCAGAAATAACCGACGGAGAGTGGCTGTGGAAGCCACTTTGCTTTTGGCATAAATGAACTAGTTCATTCATTCGGCAAATATAAGCAATACTGTGTATATATGCATGCCGTATGTTTTGCTGGGCATCGGGAGGGATACGAACACATACTAAGTCACACTCTTTGCTCTCAAGAGCTTCTCGTCAGATAGAGAACATACTCCCCAACCAGTCCACTGCGATGGGCAGTTTAAAGCAACTCAAGGGTTTTAGGTGTAAACGTTCTCTTTTCCGGCCAGGGTGATGGTGGGGACAGGGTATTACGAGGCAGCAGGGCTGGAGCTTTAAAGGATGAACGGAATGTCAAAAGCTGGAGAGGAGGGCGGGGGGAGGTCCAAGCCAGGGCCAGGCTCTGGGTTGGCTGAGAAATGAGCGTCAGGACTGAGATGGACGGAGAAAAGGGGACAGGCCAAGCCCAACATCGGTCTTCACGCCAGTTCGCGAACACTGGGATGCGTGGATATTTGACGGTGTTTTCCAAATTTTTAATTTTTTACAAACTGTACAAGAAAACCATTCCTAAATTTAGAAAGTGTTATGGAAGATAATCAGTCCTACTGAAAGAGGCCAGATAGACAAGTGAGTGGATTGGCTGGATGTCCTCGAAATGGTCACAACAGAGAACTCTGCGTGTCCTTGACCATGTGCTTTCACTCAGCGTGGGAGGCCTGCCTTCTCGGAGAAGAGTTCGGACACCAAGGTTTGCCCGATCGAACCCTGGTTCCTACACAAAAAGTACCGAATAAGATTTGTGTGCCTCATGTCTTTATTTGACTGAGCTCAGAAAAACCACCCAACTCAACCCAATCAGCCTAACAGACTTCAAACCAATTCTTAATCCAGTCACCTAAATCTATCTTTATTTGAAGTTATCATTACGACTTCACACTCAGTTCCTCTATAAGACCAGGTAAAAATTCTTAATCATCTTTAACTCAACATTCCTCTCTTCTTATAAACAGGTAATTTGGGGGCGGGGGGAAGCCCTGAAATATCTTCTCTCACATTACTTCGACTTGTGCCCCATTTGTACAGGATGGTCATTTTACGTATCAGCTTGGCTGTGCCACGGTACCCAGATACTTGGTCCAACGTTATTCTGGATGTTTCTGTGAAGCAGTTTTTAGAGAAGATTATCATTTCCCCTGGTGGACACTGAGTAGAGCAGCTTAGCCTACAGAGTGTGGTGGGCCTCGCCCAAGCAGTTGAAGCCCTCGCTAGAACAAAGACTGCTCCCCCATGAGCAGGAGGATTTCTGCCAGCCGACGGCCTGCGGCTCGTCCCCAGATCTCCAGCCTGCTCACCCGCCTGCAGGCCCTGGACTGGCCAAGTCTCTGTAACTGTCTGAGGAGATTCTTCAACATAAGTCACGTTCTGCTTCTCTGGAGAACCCTGACTGATGCAGGCGGTAAGGGCAGAAATGGACTATGGACTGCAGATCAAACCGTTTTCGCTTCCCAAGGAGAGAAGGAAAAAGGAAGAGAGATAGAGAGCAGTCAAAGGAAAGATAAGGCTAACTCAGCACACACACCTTTACTCACCTCTGCTTACAGCTAACGGACTGAGCGCATAAGCAAACCAACTTACACAGAGATATTTTAATGTTCTACACCTAAAAAGTTTGGTTTGGATTCTTAAATTATCTCGCAAAAATAAGTATCGTGTGCGTTTCCTTTCTGACTCATTTTTCTTAAGACATCCGTACATATGCACTTATTAGCCTGTTCAGCCCAACAAGGGTTCCACGATTACTAAATCTGTATTTCCCACCAAGGATGACAGACCCCAATTAGGGCTATGTGATGATTAATAGTGACAAAATTAATCTTTATTTACTATATAAGATTATTAATTATTAAAGCTCAATTTCACATATCAAATAAAAAACTTCATAACTCTGCCATCTCAACCCAGTATTTCTGTCAACAAGAAAGTCAACTTTATTAAACGAAAGCTTCAGGAACATTTTTGGGGTATTACTAAAACAGCGTTTTTAGAGAGTCTGTGCCAACTATCCGACTGAGTGTGAAGTCTCTTGTGGCAAGTCATCTACTCAACAAACTGGTTCAATTCATAGCATGAGGTCTATTTTGTCACATTTCATCTAAACGTGACTGAAATGGAGCAAAGACTATAATTAACCATTAATTTTACTTGTTCTTATAGGGTAAATATTGCATCTGTAAATAAGAAATATTTGAGAAGGGTATAAAAAGTCACGTCATACAGCTTCTGAAGAGTATTCGTGAGAGGAAATACTGTATTACTATACATATTAACATCCCATGTAGCTATAGGTGAAAATTAGAGATCAAAACTCCAAAATTTAATTTTCGTTCGGCAGGAAGGTAGGCACATTTTTAAGAACATGGAAATGAATCTTTCCTCCAGGAACTGAAGCGCGTTGAGGAGGCGGGCGCGGAGCCAGTGGGGCCCAGGTACGGGCGGGGGTCCTCGCCTTCACGACACACGGGTTCAGCGGGCCTCTGCGTGCCCGCCACGCACAGGGGGCTCGGACGCTCAGAGAGGGCTCTACCCAGTCACGCACAGCGGAGGCAATCGCACTTGGACAGGGAGGTCAAAGGGGGTGGCAGCAGCCACAAGACACCTCACAGCCGGGAAGTTATTTGGGACACAGAGACCGCTGAACAGACAGCACAGCAGGGCACAGGGGAGTGCGGCTGGGGCGCCTCGGTGAACAGAAATATTCGTCACCGATACTGTTCAGCGTCGCCAGCATATGGCGACAATAAAAAGCGACTCCTTTTAGTCTGTTTCACTAATGTTTTAAAATCATCCAGGGACAGCGCGTCCGTCTGCTGCCTGCCCCCGGGGGCGCGGCTCCCGCCGTCCCCAACGCTTGGTACAGAGCTCACGGAGACAGCTGAAGCGACCTGTTCCACACGACCCTATGTCAGAGAGACTTTAAGCTACAGCGACACAATGCGCTCCCCAGAAGAGGTAAAAGAAATCAGACTTCCTCGGCGTCTTCGCTGCTGCAGTAACTACTAAGTGGTGTAAGTACATGATACAGCGACTTAAAAATTTAAATACTGGTTTAAAAATCAGTTTGTTTTCATGTAATAAACATACACATTTCAATTAAAAAAATAATTTGTGATAAAAAAAAAATACGGCATTTTCTTAATATCATTAGCTCTATGAGGAAAAAGCCCAGATTTTCTTTCAGAGATCATAAAAAAAGTCTGTGGCTCGAAGTAGTAATAGTTTTTCCCTGAGTTGATTCCACCCGAAAGAGCTGAAATTTTCAGCTTCATCGAGAGCCAAAGAATGTCTCACGTTCTGTGAATCCGCCGTGTGTCAATAAAATATTTTAGTTCTAATGAACGCAGAGTCTGCACAAGGAAAAAAGTTCTTGCAACAAATTTCTGAAGTGCTATCGGTGCTCGGCGCAACGCTTTCTGGGTCTGAGAGCTGGAGATGACACAGCCGCCGTCACACGCACTCCGAGGAGACTGAAGACGGATGAGGGCACTAGAAGCCGCGACAGCGGACGTCTGATCCGGTGGCCAGAGAGCAGAGGCGTCAGGTGCAGAGCAGCCCAGGAAGCCGCTGTACGAGGCGGGTGGCCCCATCCGAGTCCGCAGGGCGTTCTGTGCACCCCCGGGCCGGGCCGGGTCATCGCTCCCAGTCTCGTGTTCGAGACTGTTCGACACGAAGGCGCTATGAACCTTCCTACAGTCCCTCCCGTCCCAAAGAGGACACACACGCACCGTGATCATGCAGCAGGAAAGGGGACTGTGACGTTGCGGTCACTTAGATCTGTGAAGATTTAATGAACGGTGCACGACTTAATGAGTGACCTCGTGCTAGATGCGTAAAGAAAGGGCGCGAACGATTCTGCCACGTAGAAGAAAACTTAAAAAGCCAATTTGTGAAGTTTTAGTTCTTAAAACTGCACATGCCTTAACACGGTGTGACTTCCCAGTAACACGCCCGACCACGACCACCGATGGCTTCCGGCCGCAGGACCCGGCCGCCTGGTGCGGTGACAGCTCTTCTGACAGGTGACTCAGTTATCCTTAAACATACCCGTCTCTGGAGTCTGCCTGGTGTCGGATCACCAATGCAAAGCGACCCCGTGACTTCCAGACTCAGGACAACGAGAACTGGGGGGACACACGAGCGCTCCCTCACCTCCTGGGCCGACAACGGCCACTGTCCCTCGGCTACTGTCCCTCGGAGGAGCCAGGACGCACGGCAGGAAAGCTCGAGGCCAGGCGCTGCCGGCCCCCCACCAGGTGACAGCCAGGGCCGAGCGGGAGGCCACCCGGCCAACAACGCGGCCTTCCAGCTGAAGCCACCAGGCGCGGACTCACCAGGTCCCTGTGCAGCACCCAGTTCGCGTGCAGGTAGTGGATCCCGTCCAGGATCTGGTACAGCAGCGACTTCACCATGCCCCGCGGGAGCTGAACCGGCTTCTTGTTCGCCTTAGAAGCTCTGTGGAACTTGATTATGTGCTGAAGGAAAAGAAAAACGAAACCAAACGTCACCAGAAGCTTAAAAAAGACAAGACGGAAAGATGATTTGATGCATAACGTTTTCCCATCAGAAAAAGAAATACTCGGGGATTCCCGAATATGCGGAAAACGTAATGACACATTCTGCTGAAAAACAGAAACAACTTAAAAATTTCCTAATAACTAGAGCTAAACTGCATTTCCTAATAAGCACGTGCTGGTGACTAGAAAATAAGTGATTATAACAGAGAAGTAGAAAGATAATGTGATTTTATTTTTAAAGTGTAAGTAAAAATTACTTTTAGAGTCTATGTAACCCGTTTATCTGGTAGAAAATTTTCTGCCAGAAACACAATCATTTTTATTCTGTAGTGATTAAATTAAAAAGAGCCAATTTCAAGAGACACTGCTGGCTGGCTGACAGCGTGGATGTGGCGCCTATGACGGATGGGTTATGAAGAAAACAAACGAGGAAATACGCACAAGCACAAAGAAATAACGTGGAAATGACCGGCTCACACTGGAAATATTTAGAAATGCGAAAGGTTCAGGTTTTCAAAAAAGCCATCCATCACAGCTTCGTAGGTATAATGTTGTCGGACATCCAGTAAAACACGATATCCGAAAACAGAAAAACTACTTTACGAATAAATGTACCTCAACAGAAACAAGATCCAATGTTTCAAACTCTCTCGACAGGTTTTTTCGTTTTAATTAAACCACTTTTAAACTGCAAGAAAATGTAGAGGTCGGACGCCCGCATACGCTTGGCATCTTACACGCACAAAAGTAGATTCCTGACCAGTATCTGTGTGTGAACATCAAGTGTGCTCTTGCAATTAGTGAGCATAATTTTAAAACGAGATTGAGATAGATAGTTAACGTTTTTACTTCCTATTTTCTTATTATATAGAGAGCAGAACATGGATAAGGAATAAGTAGTGATTAGTGAAAGAGTTTTACTTTCCAAAGAAAGAATATACAGCAAAGACCAGCTGGTGGGAAGGTAAAGTGTATCAGTCGGCACATATGGAGTATAATTAATCGATATTTTATTAGCAGCATTCAGCATTTCAATTTTCTTCTCGGTCACTTTTCAGTCTTATTTTTGAAGGTGAATTTATTTAAGAGCAGGCAAACAAAATATAGCTACGGTCACTCTTAATAATCTAGAATTCTTTGTCACCTATCCTAAGAAATGATGTGACAATCCAGACTGTTCGCCTTAAGAAGAGCTAGCGGCTCTCAGAGCATAGTAAAAATAAATTAAAGTAGATCATTTTTTAAGAACGTAAAACCTGCCAGAGTAAGAATGACAGAAAGGAACACGCAGGGGAAGTAAAGTAACCAACCGATGCCACCCGCGTTTCTTCAGCTGACGCTTTCATTAGGGTATTTATTACGAGTTACTTTTTTACCAAAAGTGTAAAACTACAGAAAACTACAGTGGGGACATTTTTTTTTATCTTCATTTGTATTCTGGGGCTATGGAACAAATACGTGGTATGCATATCATAAAATTTCATCAACACCTAAGTGATTTTTTTTAAAACGACTCTTTACCACAACTGTTTTGGTTGTCCTCTGGCACCTAACAGCCCAGCTAACTCATTTCAATATTCTAGTTAAAATGAGGAAATAAAGTGGATAAAGGAGTAAGCTGAATTATCATTTAGTTTGCATTAAAACGAACATTAATAGTACTTATATGGCTTAAGTGGGTATTGCTAACAGGATCATGAAAAAGCCAGTGTTGATATTTATATGCATCTGGCAACAATTACGTGCTGCATAATTTGCAAAAGTGTAATTATTATACATACAGGTAAAATGCAGTGCTACATACCAGCCTGTGAGAAATCACATTTATTTTATCTTATTTTAGTTTAGGTTAGTTTCAGGTATACAGTACAGCGGTTCGACATTTCCATAGTTTATGAAGTTATCCCCCAACTACAATTATCTCCTATGCTCGAATATGTTTTACTACAAATTGTCTTTATAAACCAACCTGGAAATTTTCTCACACATTTGGATTATATAATTTGATTTCATGTTAGGCTTGAGCATGGTCAGGGTTCAATTTGATATTGGCCACTTGATTTAATGAATTTTTATTAAAAGAATCCCAATTTGATTTGATCAGATTTCTTTTAAAAGAACAGAAGCTAACAATGAAAGAATATTTACAACCAGCCTGGACCGTGGACAATAAAACAAAGAGAAAATTTCATGTGTCTATTTTCTGTTTGAAACAATTCTTTCCAGACAACTTACAAAAACAGTTTGAATCAAATCACATTTAGTTATGGAAAATAGGTATCTACAAATAGAGCGAGGCTACTTCTTATAAATCTGAAAGTATAATGAAACTCAATAAGCTTCCATATCTGAAATCTGTTAAAGTTTAAATTATGTAAATGAGGCTAATGCTGGAAATTAGCAGAAGAGTTTGAAACTATTTTGCTATTTTTGAAGGTGAATTCCGGTTTTACTGGAATTTGTGTTAGTTTTATTTCAGAATTTTGTATTTGTAATTACGAACTACAGCTGAATGAAAATGTAAATTATTTTGAAGATCTCCGAAACTGAGCCAGGATATTATAATTCCTTGAATATTGGTATATATATCTTCTCTTTTATCTCATAAAATGCACAGCCATGCTAATCTAGTAAACATAGGCTAGTATGCAAAACGTAGTATTTAAAGACCTTATTAATTATTAAATATCAGAAAAGGCATAGTTTACATTAGTGAAGTAGTCGTTAATGAATTAATGTAACATTGGGTTTTATTTACTTGTTCTGTTTTTTAAACGGTAATCTGTGTTTACTACCGATCAGGATATAAGTTTTATATGTTTCAAAATTATTTTGACTATTCTGTTATAGATTTTCATTACAGAAATCAGAAAGTCTTATTCCCCAAGATGGCATTTTAGATTTTTGAAAAAGCTAACCATTAAATTTAACAAGGGAGTAAATTTCTAGTTCACTCAAGACTTTTATAAATACCAATTTTTTAAAAACGACCTCCTTAGTAAATTCGAAATACTGAGGCAGTGGCCTGTATTTCAGCTATTTAGACAAAATGAACTTAAATTCTTATTTATAATAATTTTTATCGAAATAGCATCCTTCGTTCATTATATTAAACTGATAAACTGTAATTACTTGACTTTGAGAATCTTCAAACATTTAGCTGAGTCTCGGCATCTGAAAACATTCACATTATGGGTTGGACGAACACAGAACAACTAAGAGCCACATCTCTGTGTGCCCCGATCGCACTGTGAGCAGAGCTCTCTCTACACAGCTTGCCCGACTCAAGTAAGCACAGTGTCCCATTTCTGCTGAGGAAAATAAGAATACATCAGAGCACTGAGCGTCGGCCGTGAACGACATTCAACAAATGATTAAGAGTTTCCTACATCTGAATAGTACACCTAGTTTGTAAAGCTTTCGAATACGAAGTTGCTCTTCAGAAAAACCCTATAAAAAAGGCAGCAAAAGGATTACATTTTACAGAGGGGGGAACTAGAGCTTTAAAGCCATTAAGAGACTTGCCTAATGTCACATGACAAATAACAGAACTACTAGATCTGTCCAGTCTTCCAAATATGACATACTTGTCTCCCTGCATGAGGAGAGCACCTTCTCACTTCGTATCCCTTTACATTACAGAATGAAAGGAAATATGCTGCTTTTCAATTTTATAACAAGATAGTTATTACGGTTAATTTTTTTGGTTTTATCAAAAACTGATAGTTAGGCAACAATACTGAAGAGTGTATACTCGTCAGAGTCTACTGTTTTCTGTAATATGTCCGAAAGGTCCAACTGATAAGATCGAAAAGTAGTAAGTAATACAAAGCAAAATACTCTAGCCTTGGTGATCCATCGAGCACATTCCACGAGGTTACTTTTACTCAACAATTGTAAATCTCACAGTAAGAGTAGCTCCTAAAATTGCTTTTCGTCCCTCTTCCTACCCCTGACAGAAACCGGTGGCTGTGTGTCGCCCCGCAATTCACCTTACCCAGAGGTCATGTTCCGCATAGTCAAACAGAAGCCACACTTTCCGATCGGCGTGAGACAGAAACACCTTTTGGAGAGAGATGACATTTGGATGCTTGAGCTCTCGGAGTAGCTGCAAAACAAAGGAGACCCATTAAAAATCTCTGCCATAAAAATGTTTTAAAAAATCCAATCATTTGTAATTCAAAGACTATACAGACTCAATCTTCAACTCTAGTAATTTTCTATCCTAAAATTCTAGTAAGTGCCTATACAATTTTCATATGTCTATACAGGTGTTTCTTTAATAAATAAGGAAAAATCTGTGGGGGAAAAGATACTGAAAAAACATAATAAAATAAATCTGTTTATCTTGTTATTGTTCAGTTGCTTTCTAATGTTGTTTTAATGTTTTATTGTGGTAAAATACATATAACAGAAAGATTACCATTTTAACAATTTTAAGTGTCCAATCCACTAATATTAAGTACCCTCACGACACTGTGCAACCATCACCGCTATCCGTTAGGACATTTTCATGATCCTAAATAAAATCTTTGTATCCATTAAACAATAAGTCTCCATTTCCCTCGGTCCCTCAGCCCTCGCTAATCTCTATTCTACTTTCGGTTTCCATGAACTTGCCCTTTGTAGGTATCTCAGTAACTCCGTTTGTGTCTGGCTTACTGCACTTAGCATAAGGCCCCGAAGGCTTCTCCATGTTGTAGCGTGCGTCAGAATTTCTTTCTTTTTTCCAGTTGAACACGGTTCATCACATATATGCACACATTTTGTTTGTCCATTCATGTGCTGATGAATGTGAGTTGTCGCCACGTCTTGGCTACTGTGAATAACAGTGCTATGACCATCGGCAGAGAGGTGGGTACCTGATCCCCTGCTTTCGACTCTTTGGGGATAAACCTAGAAGCGGGACTGCTGGATCACGTGATAATTCTTTAACTTTCCGAGGAGCCACCGAACTGGTTTCCGCAGCCCCGGGGCCAGTTCTCACTCCCATCCCCAGTCAGTGCTCCAGGGTCCCCGCCTCTGGACAGCCTCACCTGCACTTACTGTCCTGTTTTTTTAGCAGCCACATCCTAATAGGTATGAAGTAGTAACTCACTGTGGTTTTGCATCTCCCTAATGATGAATGATGTTGAGCATCTTTTCATCTGCTTATTGGTCATGTATGTGTTTTCTTTGGCGAAATGTCTGTTCAAGTCCTTTCCCCGTTTATGAATTAGATTTTTTTTTTGATTGTTGTTGAGTTGTAATTCTTTATATAGTCTAGATATTAATCCCTTGTCAGATATATGATTTACAAATACTTTCCCCCATTCTGCTAGTTGTCTATGTTTTGATATCACAAAACAACTGAACTTAGAGCAAATCTTTAGTTTGTAATTCTTTTAAAAATGAATTGCAACATTTGAAAACACATCTCTGTGAGATACAGTACCTAGTTTTTCAGGCATTTACATTATATGGTAAAGTTGATTAAAATTTTGTCATCTTTTCCATAAAATAATAAAGAACTTATACAGACAGAAGCATCTGAGTAGAACATGTTTTCATAAGTTTAACCTTTCTCATCTCCTCGGAGGACATTGTTCTATTTAAAATCTCTTATCTCCATTTAATAACCTCTCAGTTAAAAAGCACCCACCCCCACCTACCAAGCAAAAACAAAATGACAGCGACGATGATGAGAAAAACTTCTTAGGAGACTCGATATTATGTTTTTATCAGTTAAAACTAACTCACATACTGCCTTCCAAATGCGTCCCAAATAAATGAAGGCCATGGGAGTGAAAGTCGAGGTCTTAGAACTTACAACTCCAATACCTTTTATGAGAACACTGCCGCCGAAAAGGGAATCCATGTGAATGGAACGTTAATGATATCTTAGGGTCTCTGACACGAATTCAGCAAAGACAAGACTGTAATTGGAATAAGTATTAAGTTACGTGTATTAACGATTATTGTCTAGAAAGTGGTACTTATTTTATTCAGGAGCAAGATTAAATCCAAGTTATATATTTCTGCTTTTAGAACATCATTTCAAATGTATGAGACTTAAGATATCATGTATAAATCCTCAGAAACCTAAAGGCCAGTGTCTAGAACTGTCCACTTCCTGATTAACAAACAGGGCAAAGCATCTGACGGGGAAAGCTGAGACCTCGGGGTCACCCGGGATCACCCGCTGGCTGAAGGAGTCAGACCTCGTGGTACGCTCGTCTCGGTTCTGGGTTAGTGCTTCCTCGGTGAGCTCACGCCCGGAACGCACTGCTCAGCTGGGCAGCTAATTTCGAGTCCTTTCGGGAAAATGGCAGGGTAGAAATGATAACAAACTCCAAGGCTTTGGCAAAAGTTCTCTCCAATTCTTAGAAACCTACATATAAAGCTATTCTTAGCTATCGTCTCAATTTTACCTCCAAGATGAGATTTAGCTCCTGTATTAAAAAAAAAAAAAAAATTTAAAAGCAGCAACCATCTCATTAAGCGATTCTGGCTGCCGAGGAAGCATACGACATGCATCATCTCATTATCTCAGTTAATCGTGACTGACCCCGTGAAGCATTTGTATTGCAGCAGTCCCCCGCTTATCCGTGGTTTCACTTTCCACGGTCTCAGTTACCATAATCTGAAAATATTAAATGGAAAATTCCAGAAATAACTGATGTTTTCAGTCACACACCATTCTGAGTAGTGTGATGAATGAAGTCTTGTGTCCTGCTTCGTCCAGAGCGTCCGCACTGTATACGTTCCCAACCCAGCAGTCACTTAGTCACCTTCTCGGGCATCAGACCGACTGTCGTGGTATCGCAGTGCTTGTGTTCAAGTCACCCTTATTTTATTTCATAATAGCCCCAAAGCCATCCACATAGCTTTTATTGCAGTATATTGTTATAATGGTTCTACCGTATTATTAGCTATTGTTAATCTCTTACTGTGCCTCACTTAAAAAGTGAACTTTATCACAGGTATGTACGTACAGGAAAAAACACAACACAGCTGACCCTTGAACAACACAGGTTTGAACATGGATTCTTTTTCAATAAATACTGTAAATTATTTTCTCTTCCTTGTGATTCTTAATAAGATTTTCTTTTCTCCAGCTTACTTTACTGTAAGAATCTAGTATATAATACATGTAATATATAAAATATGTGCGAATCGACTGACTGTCAGGTAAGGCTTCCGGTCAACAGTGGGCTGACAGTAGTTAGGTTTTTGGGGAGTCAGAAGTTAGACTCGGATCGTCGACTGTGCTGGGGTCGGAGCCTCCAAGACCATGCTGTTTAAGGCTCTAGTGTATAACAGACAGGGTTCGGTGCTGCCCGCAGCTTAGGCACCCACGGGGGGACATGTCCCCCGTGGATAAAGGGCAACTACTATACTTCTGCTTCACAAATGAGGAAATAATGGTGTAAATGGGTTAAAGAATTTGCTCAAGGTCACATTCCTAGGTAATGGTTAGAATCAGGATTTAAACGCCTTTACAATCAATGCACTTTTAAAATACAAAGCCAGTCTATGGCCATGCTGCCCTGAACAAACCCGATGTCTGATCTCGGAAGCTAAGTAGGGTCCAGCCTGGGCAGTACTTGGATGGGAGACCACCTAGGAAGACCAGGTGCTGTAGGCGCAAAAAATAAAACATAAGGGATTGTAAGCTGACAAGGTCCTTGTGATCTGTGAGGTCAACCAAGGGTTGCCTCGCCTAAAAAAAATCTCGTGGAAACCGAGGTTGAAGTGGGGTCTGCCTAATCTCCAAAAGAGGAATCCACAAATGGTAAAATAAAAATAAAATAAAATAAAATAAATAAAATAAAATACAAAGCCAGTATTCTATGGCTAACACCAATACCTCCTAAGACCTTGTACCCTAGGAGACGAGTTCTCGTTAAAGCCAAACACAGATGTCAGATGCTCTAAATACCTGCGAGGTTGTACCCTGGACACTGGCAGGCAGTGCCCCGCTCGCTAGTGCACCGCTAGCTTCTAGCACACTGCCTGGCACCTACCTGGTAGGCATTCTTTAAGTATCTGGCCGATATATAAATAAATGAATTATGCACAAAGCTCCTCACCATAACCCGATGAGATACTGTTATGATTCCTATTTCACAGATGAGGAAACTAAAACAGGGAAATGAAGTAACTTGCTTTGCGTCCTCCAAGAGAGATGAGAGGTAAAGCCAGGATCTGAGCTCAGGTGTTCTAGCCGGCCAGCGTCTCAGCAGCCAATGCGACCCCGGGAGGTGGCTGCTCTGACACTGTGGGAGGTTCCCATGGTTTTCTTATCTGATGTCATCACTGCAAACAGAAGCCGTAGCAGACAGGTGCCTGTTTCTTAACATTTTATAAGTTTTTTGGCCTCTCTGAAGATTTTGTGTTAAAAAAAATTTAAAGGAAAGGCTTAAGTACATTGATGCAATGGTTTCCGTCACAGACGCCACCTAAACTTTTCTAATTCTCCAAGAATAAAATCTTGTAATTTCCTCGGCACTAAGATCGCTGCCGAAAATAAATAAAAATGGTTTAATACATCATTCATCATAAACTTAATTCATTCCAATTGGGCCATAAAAAAAAATCACACTTAATCTGAACTTTCAAAGTACAAATTAAAAAATAAATATTTAAAACTATACCTTGTCAATAAATACCACTGACAACAGTGAGATAATAGGTAAGAAAACTCAAATCGTCTCAAAAGGACAGTGATTTCTAATATCGAAAATTTCAGAACAAAGCAAAAATTACGAATTCTAAATTTATGCCATAAGTAAGACAGCTGAGTTAAAATTACTGTAAAAGCATAATAAAAATTATTCTGGAATTTATTTCAATTTTTTAAAAGCTCTGGAACCTTTATTTTGGTCAAATACTGTAAAAGCATAATGGAAATTATTCTGGAATTTATTTCAATTTTTTAAAAGCTCTGGAACCTTTATTTTGGTCAAATTCTTGCAAATTGATTTTTTTAAAAACTGAAGTACTTTGGTTAGAGTAGATGCGAGCTTTAGAAACGCGTCTGGAGCTTCGCCTCTGCCCCCCAGCCTCCTCTTCCCAAGTACCAGGCGGCCTCTTGAAATACCAAAGGCCCTCTGAAGCACACTCAGAAAACCAGTAAGTTAAGGCATTCTAGCTCACAGGAAATTCTGGAAATACAAACCAAGCCGCTTACAATACAGTGAGGATAAAGCTGTGCAATGCCCTCGACTTTGGTAGAAATTCTCCGAGTTCTTTCCTTCCCCCCATTCCCTTTACACCTATTTACTGAGCAAACACTGTGTGAGACCCAGCACACACTGCTGAAGAAATGTGTCACAGTGTATGGGGGCAGGGGCAATAAAGAGAAGATAAACACACATAAAGAGAAACGCCCGCTAACTATAACTTATAACAAGTGTTACGCAAAAAATGCACTGGGTACAGGTCGTGTGAGAATAATGGAGGTGAGTGGTGGGAAATGAGATCGCGGAGGAAGATTTCACAAATGGAAGGGGGGTGTGCTAAGACTTGCTAAAGGAGACGAAGGTTTTTTTTCTTTTCATTTTTTTACTATAGAAATTTTTTCAAAAGTATATGGAATAGTAAAACAAACGCCCATATGTCATTATCCACTCACGGCACATCTCATTTTATCTAGGTTCATCCCCACTCTTCCCACCTATCCTGGATTATTCTGAAGTAAATCCCAGACCTCATACGATTTCACCTCTAAGTATTTTGGTGTGTTTCTCTAAAATGTAGGATCGCTTTTCTCTGACCGCAATGAAAATAAATTAGTAATCAACAATAATGAATTATCCAGAAAGCCTCATATATTTAAAATTTAAACGATACATTTCTAAATAATCCATGAATAAAAGAAAAAAATCACAATGGAAATTTTAAGTGTTTTATACTAAATGACAATAAAAATACAATGAAATTTGTGGCAGGCAAAGAAAACACCACTTAAATGGAAATTTATAGTTTTCATTGCTTACAATAGTTTAAAAACCAATGACCTAAGGTCTCACCTTAAAAAAATACGAAAGAAATGTAAGCCAAAAATAAGTATAAAGAAAGAAATAATAAAGAGCAGAAACCATTGATATGGACAGAAAACAGAAATTACCAAAACCGTAATGAAATAGGGACACCATTACAGAAGCTACACATGTGAACAGATAATAAGGGACTATTATGGACAACATTGTGCTAATACAGTCAATAGCTTAAATGAAAGGGACAAATATTTTTACATAAAAATACAACTCATCAAACACAAGATGAAATATAAAATCTGACAGCTCTACCTCTATTAAGAAAATAATGCTGGTTGGTAAATAATATCAAACATTTAAGGAAGAATAACTATCAATCACACAGAAACCCTCAGGAAACAGAGGATGAAGAAATGCTGTCTAACTTGTTTCGTGAGGACAGCCCGACCTTGATACCAAAGGCAAAGGCGTTATAAGAAGATAATTATAGACTAACATCCTTCGAACTCATACACCTAAAGCTCCTTAGCAACACAAAAAGCATTTGCTAAAATTCGATACCATTTATGAAAAAAATAGAAGGAAACAAACTAAGCCTAACTGATGGTATCTATAAAAACCCTACAGCCAGCGTTTTTAGTTCCTGAGAACACTTTCCTCCGAGACGGGGGCAGGTCAAGATGTCCGCGCTCACCTCTACTCAGCACTGTACGAAAGGCCCCGGCCAGCGCAATAAGGAAAGAAAAAAATTAAAAGCATAAAGACGGAAAGGAGGAAAACTATTTTTATTCCCAGATTACATAATTACTTATGTAGAAAAGCCCAAGATATCGCCAAAAACCAACCAGTGAACTTAGATATATATTATTTACATGATGTACAATATCAAAAAAAAAAAAAATCAATGCTATTTCTGATTACAGAAGCAAATGAATGGAAAATAAAAAATTTTAAATCATTCCATGTACGAGGGTCAGAAACCATGAAGTGCTTAGGAATGAATTTAACGAAAGGTGTGTGAAACCTCTATGCTAAAAACTATAAAACCAGTGAGAGTTATAATGAAGGAGAACCTTAAAAACAGACTAGATTCATGGCGTGGACGTTTCAGAATTATTAAGATGTCAATTCTCTCTGAACTGATCCAAACCGTAACCCCATTAGGCATTTTTTAGAATTAGAAATTGGCTAGCTGATTAAAAATTTTACATAATAATGCGAAGGACCTAAAATAGCTCAAACGATGCAGAAACAAGAATAAAGATGGTGGCCTGATACCGCCTTGCTTCAAGTCTTGCTGTATGTAACTCCCGAGAAATCTGGTGTTGGCGTTAAGAATAGACAGAGATCAGTGGAACGCACTAAAGCCCAGAAACAGTCCCACGCTTACAAAGCCATTTAGTGTTTTACGAAGGTGCCAAAGGAATTCAATGGGGAAGAATCTTTTCAAAAAACTATGCTACAACGATTGTGCATTCATAAGGGATGAGTGGACAGCCTCAAACCCCACATCATCCTATGAACAAAATGTAATCAAGGCTAAAAAGTCAAGCTAAAACAACGTTTTTAGAAGAAAATGCAGAGAAACATCTTCGACAACAAATGGGTCGATAGATTTCTTCAGATACACACACAAAAAGTCATAAAAAGGATAAAATTCGTAAATTAGACTTCATCAAAATTAAAAATTTCTGTTCACCTCAGGTTGAAGAACCACCATCAAGTACATTAAAAATAAGCTCTCCTATTCCTTTTTGTGCTTAAACTGCATTTACAGTTATCAATATAAACGTACAGAGTGTCTGTTCGTAAAGGCACAGTTTTGTTTGTTTTTAAAAGCATGACCCATGAGTGCACAGCTCAGTGAGTTTTCACATACTCAATCCAGACAACCAGACCCAAGCAAGCATTCTGCAGACTGCTCTGCCTCCCTGTCTTGCCTTTCCCTGTCCCTCCTGAAAGTAATCACTATCGTGACGTCTGACGCCATTTACCACAGTTCCGTGGGTTTAATTCTTTAAAACTAACTAGAATATACAGTATAGTAGATGCTGAAGGGTTGACAGTTAATGTACGGATACGCTGCCTCAAGATTCACGGGTATAAAAGGTTCATCGAGTAAATGAAATACGCTTTCCGACATGCATGCCTTTGGTTACGAATGGCCTCTATCTCGCCCCTACTGTTCTCTCCTGCTGGTATTCTTACCTGTCCTCCAAAACCTGGAACCCTCCTTGATTCCCCAGCTTAGGTGTACACCCTTCTGACATTCTCTATGCGCTTCTATCATAGAGGCTGGCTCACTGTTGTTATAAAATTTATAAGCCTCTTTCCTTATCAGCATGTAAATACTTAAGGCCTGGGATCCCGATCTGTTCTGCTTCTTTACTTTTACCTAGTCTAGTTCTCATCAACATGACACACAATAAACAACTGTTAGTTGAAAACTCTGTGGTATAGAATCTGTTGAATCAGTAAAATTATCTAAATTAATATCTCCAGATCACGAGAGCCTAGTTGTAGCTAGAAGGGCTGAAATCACCAAAAGCGAAGACCATAATAATTATTCTAGGATATTCTGTTCAAAGCCAGAAAAGACAAATTTGGACACATAGATTTAAAAAATCGCATGGGAGTAACCCTCAGTTTAACTGTACGAATAATTATTTGGTAATGAATTAACATGAAGACTATTTTTCTTTAAATAAAAAATTAGATTCTAATACCACATGTAAAACTAGGTACGTGTCCAGAAGAAAAAGGCATACATTCACATATTAAAATAAACAGGTGGATACAATTAAAATCAAATAACACAGATTCATTTATGTTCATATAAGTAACAACATTCATCTCATCTCATTAAAATAGAAATTTTAACTTTATCTAAACTATCATACCACTTTCATTGCACTTGATGAAATAATAACTGAACCTTTAATTATTTAATGACATTTATTGGAAAAAACATATATTTATATAAACAACTGAAATGGACTCAATCCCAAATAAATGAATTTTTATAGAAATTTTTGCTAGATCCAAATGCTACCTTTACTTCTCTTTGAAAAACAAGTATTTTTCTACGGCTAGTGATACAAAAAAATATTGATTAACTTTCAGCTATGTGTATACGTGACAAATCAAGAGATCTACATAGTTGACACTCTTAAGTCAGTTGATAATAATGATGATAAAAAGAGCTTCACTTACTGCTATTTCTCTACATGCCGACATAGAGATCCCGGTTCCTTCTATTTGTTTTAAAGCATAGTCTTTATCATCTTTCCTGTAAAAACAAAGTTATTTTAATACACAGATAAAGCTAAATTTATGTTCATTCTTAATAAACTATAAATAAATACAAATCACATATTTAGTATACATTCGACACCTCGCATACACATTCTCAGACTGCAATCCAGGAAACACGTTTTAGATAATCTCGTGGGATCCCGCAGTTTCACGAGGGAAGTTAGAGCCGGAGGAATAAAGAGACTTGTCCTGGGCCCCGCGGCCGTCTGCAGAGACGGGGACCCCGAAGCAGAGCGCCTGACCCCCGGCACGGGCTCTCTCTGCTCCAACATGCACACGCGTCCTCTCCGTGTGCACGTGTGCGTGCACACATGGCCTGCTTCCTAAAACCCGTCCACGTGTCAGTGAATGCAAACAATGCAGAAACGAACGCATCGCTAAAGTACAAAACGGTTACCATTTAAGACACGTTATAGTCCCCGTGACCCTGAATGCCTTCCAAGAGATTCAGGCGACAAGTGTTCACCGAGCACTCACTATGGGCCCGGGCCTGTGCCAGGAGCGGGGGAGACGAGAGCTCCTCTTCTAAGCTTTCTGTGTCTACAGGCCTAGAAAGACAGGTAACTAAGCTACCGCGATACAACGGGGTAAGTAGCGTGATAGGTGACCACGGAGAAGGTGACCCAAAAGTGACTGGGGGAGGACCCGACCGAGGACTTCTCAAAAGAAACACCGGCTGATGACTGAGGCCTATCAGCAGTTCTCAAACTCTGGGCTCGGGACCCCTGCGCTCTCGTGGCTATTACTGAAAACGCTGAAGAGCTCTGTGCGTCAGTATTTACCCGATTCAGATTTTAAAATGGGAGCCCAGAAACAACATAAAAGCACATGTCCGTCAGCTACCGGAGCAAAGGTATCATCGCATTATGCCATCTTTGAAAAAATCTACCACTCATGAGAACCAGAGCGAAAAAAAAGCAAATAATATCACAGCGCTGTCATGGAAACACTGTTGACCTTGCAGAGCCTCTGAAAGGGACCCACTGAGGGGTTCCCAGGCAGTTTGTTGAGTGTGTGTGTGTGTGTGTGTGTCTGAGTGTCTGTGTGTGTGTCTCTGTGTGTGTCTGTCTATGTCTGTGTGTGTGTGTGTCTGTGTGTGTGTCTGTGTGTCTGCCTATCTGTGTGTGTGTGTCTGTGTGTCTGTGTGTGTGTATCTGTCTGTGTGTGTCTGTGTCTCTGTGTGTGTCTGTCTGTGTGTCTGTGTGTGTGTCTATGTGTGTGTGTCTGTGTGTGTATCTGTGTGTGTCTGTCTGTGTCTGTGTGTCTGTGTGTGTGTCTCTGTGTGTGTGTGTGTGTCTGTGTGTCTGTCAGTGTCTTTGTGTGTGTGTCTGTCTGTCTATGTGTATGTGTCTGTGTGTGTGTCTATGTCTAAGTGTCTGTGTGTGTCTGTGTGTCTGTGTGTGTCTGTGTGTGTGTGTGTGTATGTGTGTGTGAGGGGAAACAGCGTGAAGGCCATTGAAGTGAGAGAAAAGCATCTGAGGAAGAAACAGAGTCAACACCTGGAGACGAGGCTGAGGACGAAACTGGAAGCCAGAACATAAAAGTCTTTTTACTCCAGAAACAACAGGAAGTGCTCCATTGAAGATTTTTTAATAAGAGACTATCGATTACATTTGGCGAGGGGACATTCTCTTTGGCTGCCTCTTGAATGCTTGCGGGGAGCAGTGGGCCCAGAGACAGAGAGGCCACTGAAAAGCCGACGGTGTGAGAATCGGTCCGGGGAGCGGGGACGGTGGCCGCTGCAGAGAGCAGGCCACGGAGAGGAAGAGCCAGAAGCGCCTGGGGACTGAGCCCTGGGGTTGGGGAAGAGAGAGGCGTCGAAGCTGTCGGGTGCCGCCCCGGGCGACAGGTCACTGACATCATTCGCTGCTCTGTGAGGGCTGAGCGTCGGGGCCCGTGAGACGCGTCAGTGGGGATGACGAGCTGCATAAACATGTCTAAAGAAATGTGTCTGGAGAAAGCTGAAGACACCGATCTCCTCTAATCAGCACATACACAGCCATCGAAGCCATGAGAGTAGATGACTCCAAAGAGAAGGGTCGGCGAGAAGAAGGTTTTCAGGAAGGGCGCGAAGGAAAGGGCATAAAAGGTGCAGAGGTCTAGCGGAGGGCAGACTGAGACGAGGCCACTGAACGTCGCCACGAAGAAGTGACAAGCGCAGAGTGGCCGAGGCCGACGCAGCTGCGGTGACGCAGAGGCACCGTCTGCACCGCGCGAGGCTGAGCAGTGAACGGGGCAGAAGTGAACGGGACGGTCAGTGCCGGGAACCTTCGCAGGGGAGAAAATCGGGCGGCGGCCGCAGTAACACACAAGGGGAAGGATTGTTTCTTAAGACAGACGAGACACGAGTGTGTAAAGGGCTCACGGGAGGGACCCCGAGAAAAGGAGCCGCCGATGGAGACACGAAGAGCGACTCGCTGAGGAGAAACCAGATCCGGGGCCGGAAAGACAAACACTCCCTCCATCCCCACGGGAAGAAAGCCGAGGACTCCCCCACCCCGACTAGAACCAGCAAAGGCTCATCGGCAAGACGTCGGTTCAAAGGCCAAAATCTGGGGGCGTTCTCATTTTGATGGCTTTCCCATTCTTTTGGTCTTGGAAATGAGGTCACGTACTAAAAGAAGGCAGAGAGGGTAGAGTTGGAGATCTGAGTAGAATGAAGATTTGATTAAATAAAGGAATAACTCCTTGCAAAATCAATGGAGTTCGTTTAATACTTCATTATTTTAAAGGATGATTAAAACTTACACAGGTTTCTCTTTATTTTTGCGACATATTTTACACTCAATCCTTTAGTCAGAAAGATACATCCCAACTGCAACATTTTTCCGGGCAAGATCTGTTTTATGACAATCGGCTTTACAGTATACTTTCTAGTAAAGCACCACGGGATGGGCACTGGCGATATTAAATATCTGCACTTGATGTTCACTACGTCTGAATGAGTCCACTATTAAGGATATAGTTGTGATTATCATGTCCTCTTCATGAAATAATCCCTTTATCGTGATATAATGGCCTTCTTTATCTCTTATTACAGCTTTTGCGCTAAAGACCATTTTATCTGATTTAAGCAGAGCTGCCCCTGCCTCCTTCGGTTTCCACTTGCATGGCATCTCTCTTTCCATCCCTTCACTTTGAGCCTGTGTGTGTCCTTGAAACTAATGTGAATCTCCTGAGGGCTAGAGTGGGATCTTGCTTTTTATCCGTTGAGTCACGCTATACCTTTTGATTCAAGAACTTAATCCATTTACGTGTAGAGTAATTATTTACATAAGGACTTGCTACAGCCATCTTTTGTTTTTTGGCTACTTTATAGTACCCACGCTCCTTTCCTTCCCTCCTGCTGACTTGCTCTGTGAGCTGATCATTTCTGCAGTGGTATGCTTCGATTCCCTTCTCCCTTTAACGGATCAGCTGTAGGTTTTTGCTTTGTCGTTACCATGACGATTACATAAAACGTTAATTCTTATTTTATGCCGATGTTTGACTGCGGACAAAAACCACACTCTCGATCCCCTCTTTTACGTTTCTGATGTCACGATGCCCCTCTTTTTACATCCATTAACAAATTACTGTGACTGTGCTTATTTTTAAAACTTCTGTCCTTTAGCCTTTGCCACGTCACGGTATCGGAGTGCTCTGAATCTGACAATATACTCACCGTTACCGCTGCCCTGTCTGTTTTCATGTCACTTATTAGCATTCTTTCGCTTCGGCCTGAAGTCTCCCGTTGGGCACTTCCTGGAGAACAGGTCTAGTGAGGACAAACTCCCTCGGCTTTTGTTCTGGGAGTGTTCGCCTCTCCATTTCTGAAGGACAGCTTTGCTGGACAGAGTATTCCTGAGTGGCAACAATGCATCGTCCCACACTTTTCTGGCCTGTAAAGTTTCTGCTGAGACGTCTGCCAACGGCGGGACGCATCCTTCCCTTTTCAGCATCTCTCTCGACACCCTGCGTGGGGCTCTCAGGTGTAGTAGGCCTCTTACTCTCCCTTCACTAAAGCATCTATAACGTGCAAGGTACTATGAACAGTGATGAAGATACAAAGGTAAACATGGCCTGGCCTGTGCCTTTAATTCAGCCACGATCTAGGTGAAGAGACTGAAATAAAACAGAAAGGTACAAATTCAAGTCCCATAGGAAAACAATAACTAATCTGACCTAAGATTTAACTGGATGCAAGGTCAAAGTGATGAATTAAAAATAGCCAAGTAATTGGCTTTAGGAGAAAACGAGCTTGAGATGACAGCATTCATACTGAGATGTCCGGTGGAGGGAGAGAGAAACAAAGGCTAGAAATCAAAATGCAAATCGCAGATCCGGGAATCAGCTATTTAGACGTGACAGCCGAAGCTGTTATAATAGGGGAAATTTACTAAATGAACACAGTGTTAAGTACCGATACAGTGATATGCTCACATTCAGGAAAGCTAAGAATCAAAACAAGACAAGCTCGGAAGCACGGAGCACACCAGGATGGGGAGAGCTCCGAAAGGAGGAGGGCCACCCTCAGGTGTCACAGAGCCTGGCATACTGCATATTTGGTAGACACAGTTAGCTGCCCACCCAGAATCCATTCCTCCTCATTCCGTCTTTACAGAACGCGGGTTCTGTCCAGGTTTATTTACTTTTCGTAACATAACTGTGTGCCTCAAAAGAAGATGACCTCTCCCTAGTTCCCGGGTGCGCCAGAACGGTCCAAAAGTGATTTTACTTCCCTTGCCTATGACTGGTTCAGGAACAAGCTGTGAACCAATTCTGGACAATGAGTCATGTGGCAGACCGCTGAGCAGCTTCCTGGGGGTTTGCTGGGTCATCAGAGAGACTCTCTCTCAGGAAGTTCGCGGCCACAGCTGCCGATGGTAACTACTACGCCTCCCTGGAAGGGACCTGCCTCGGGATGAAGCTGATGTTGAGGACAACAGGTACGGAAAGCGAGAAACCTGGCATCTTAACGACATCAGGGAGGCG